GGTCCCGATTGGTCAAAGGACTCTGGGTCTGTGTCCTTAACTGTATTAATATCTATTCCTGGTTGCTTTCACTGCTACCTTTTATACACTATAGTGTATTAAAAGTGTTTAGAAAGAGTGCGAGGAGAGACCATGAGGTTTTAAAATGTATTTGAAAAGTAGAAACTTATAAGGTCACTAGTATTTTTATTCTGGGGGGTTCAGAACCCAGCCCCCATAATGGAGGGACTGCTGTACATATGGACTAAATCGAATGGACTCTGGCAAAGACTAAGGACTGGAACAATCATGTAAAGAATGCAACAGATTTATTGGCACAATTTTCTTCAATCAAAAAGTGGGCTAAAAACATAATGAAAAGGAAATTTGGTAATAATTTCCTGTGCTGTTAGACAACTATAATGCATTTAAATGTGACAGTTTAAACTGTTTTCACCACGCCCAAACATCATCAGTCATTTTATCTGATAGTCATGTAATCAACTGTTTTGTTTTGTGTGACAACTGATTAAAACTTTTTTGGCATTAATATTATTAAACTCTGGTAAAATTCTAGATGATGTTTTTAACAAGCCAAACACAAAAATGCTTCCTTTTTTGTATTTTGTCCCCAAAGGTTTTTTAAATTTACACGGGCTCACCACCCGTGGGAGGGGCCAAAGGGGTCGGGTGCAGTGTGCCCTGGGCGGCGGCCGGAGTCGGGGATCTTGGCGGACCGATCCCCGGCTGCAGAAGCTGGCTCTAGGGACGTGGAACGTCACCTCTCTGGCGGGGAAGGAGCCTGAGCTGGTGTGCGAGGCGGAGAGATTCCGGCTGGACATCGTCGGTCTCGCCTCGACACACAGCTCTGGCTCTGGAACCAGCCTTCTTGAGAGGGGTTGGACGCTCTGCTACTCTGGAGTTGCCCCCGGTGAGAGGCACTGAGCAGGAGTGGGCATACTCATTGCCCTCCATCTCGGTGCCTGTACGTTGGGGTTTACCCCAGTGAGCGAGAGGGTAGCATCCCTCCGTCTTCGGGTGGGGGGACGGGTCCTGACTGTCGTTTGTGCCTATGGCCTAACAGCAGTGCAGAGTACCCACCCTTTTTGGAGTCCTTAGAGGGGGTACTGGAGGGTGCCCCCTCTGGGGACTCCCTCGTTTTGCTGGGGGACTTCAACGCTCACGTGGGCAACGACAGTGAGACCTGGAGGGGCGTGGTTGGGAGGAATGGCCCCCCCAGCTTGAACCCGAGCGGTGTTCTGTTTTTGGACTTCTGTGCTCGACACGGATTGTCCATAACGAACACCATGTTCAGGCATAAGAGTGTCCATATGTGCACCTGGCACAAGGACACTCTAGGCCGCAGCTCAATGATCGACTTCGTTGTCGTTTCAGCTGATCTGCGGCCGCATGTTTTGGACACTCGGGCCAAGAGGGGGGCGGAGCTTTCCACTGACCACTACCTGGTGGTGAGTTGGCTCCAATGGTGGGGGAGGATGCCGGTGAGACCCGGGAGGCCCAAACGTGTTGTGAGGGTCTTCTGGGAGCGCCTGGCGGAGTCGCCTGTTAGGCGGAGCTTTAACTCCCACCTCCGGGAGAGCTTCGAGCACGTTCCGGGGGAGGCGGGGGACATTGAGTCCGAGTGGGCCGAGTGGGCTGAAGTCACCGAGGTGATCAAAAAGCTCCGCGGTGGGCCGCAGCCGTAGCCTAATGGTTAGAGGTGGCCCATATACAGAGCCTCTGCTCGCAAGCGGGTGGCCTGGGTTCAAATCCAGCCCATGGCCCTTTCCCGCAGGTCTCCCCTTCTCTATCTCTGCCCCCTTTCCTGTCAAGCTACTGTCATTAAAGGCCACTAGAGCCCAAAAAAAAAAAAAATTAATTAATTAATTAAAAAAAGCTCCGCGGTGGCAAGGCCCCGGGGGTGGATGAGATTCGACCGGAGTTCCTCAAGGCTTTGGATGTTGTGGGGCTGTGTTGGCTAACGCGACTCTGCAACATCGCGTGGACATCAGGGGCACATC